CAATGGAGCACCCTGCAGGGGACCTGCTCATCAAACACGTATATGTGCCTCTAGAATATGGCCACCAATATCTTTACAGCTGACTTCGTCATGGTTTCCTCATTTTACTCAGATCATTATAGAATTTAGAATTAGGATTAAGTGGTTGAAGTTAACCATAAGTCCAGGGTTATCTATTTCCTTTTTTTTTATGATATATAGTTTTAATTTGTAAAGACAAGATATTCATTCACAGTATGCGTGGAACAAAGAAACACTCTTGGTCCCCTGTTAGGATTCGAATCCATGACCCTCCAGTTTTTATTTTTTATGATAATATTTTCCATGTGCTCTCGCAGTTCATGGTGGCTTTTCTCAATGGTCCAACTGGTCTGGCTGTAGCCGGTCCTGTGCAGGAGGAGCTCAGCGTCGCTTTCGCACATGCACCAATCCCCCGCCCGAAAACGGAGGAAGAGATTGTAGCGAACTGGGACGAGCTACAGACTTAAGAAAATGTAACAAACAAGACTGCCCAGGTAGATATCTTATAAAAAAAAAACTGTAGTTACAAAAATAACTGAAATCTAAACATTCATATTAAGTATGAGGGCTAAGTAAAAGTTGCTATCGTTCGAGTCATTTATTCCTTCCTTTTCATTGGCCGAGAGACCACCCCGTGACCTGCAAATAACTCCCTGCAAATAATGGTCTGCTCATGCGTAATACCTTCTAAATGTGTTTGCTGCAAATGCCTTATTACATGAAATTGTCGAGACATGTTAATTTCGCGATTTTCGCGATTTAAAACAAATGCGAAACTAATGTGACGCGAATAATATTTAAGTGTCGCGAGCATAACGTGTCAATAATCAAGAAAGTTACAAATAAATCAGTTCTGACTATTGAAAGGTCATAGTACGATTAACTCTGCCAATGAATATGAGCCTGATGTATTGAATACTTTTCGTGCAACACGGGTTTGAAAACTAAAACTTTTACAAAGAATGGATGAGCTTATTAACGCTTTTGCCACCCAGAAATTTTGAAGGTTTTGAAAAACAATGTCTCCTTGAATATTACACCCAAAGAGCTAAAAATTTTACTATGTATCAAGTTTCATCAGCTCTTTGGCTGCCCGACTAATTTAACATGTTTCCTTCCGTACGCAAAGCCGTATCCAAATAAGCAAAAATGTAAACAATGACGTCAGCGTGAATCCCCCTATTGATCTGCTCGCCACTGACAAATCGCGATACTTTGCGCATCCTCGTCCAATATTAAAATTGTTAATTATTTTACACGGCTATACCGTCAAGATATTGGTCTCGTTTAGAGATTTCATTTTGTCGTTACTGGATTGAGTTATACAGGAATCGTAAATTTGGTGAATTGAGAAGTTAACAAAGTTACCTTCTGTATTGTAACTTAATTAATTTTGGTTCTTCTCAGTTCATGGTGGTTACTCGCAGTGGTCCTACTGGTCTCAGTGTACCAAGTCATGTGGATCGGGAACTCAGCGTCGCTCTCGTTCATGTACTAATCCCCCACCAGCTAACTGTGGACGAAATTGTAGTGGACTGGGACTAGCTAAAGAATTACAAAGATGTAACACACACAGCTGCTCAGGTGAAAGCTTTCTTATTTAACATCCCTGTATGCATAGTTATATAGTATTCAATTATGGTGCCGTCACTTACCGGCTTGTAATTACTGCCCCCTTTTCTAACATATCTTCTCAGTTCACGGTGGCTACTCGCAGTGGTCTGATTGGTCTCGTTGTAGCCAGTCTTGTGGGCGAGGAAAGGAATACCGTATTCGTTTCTGCACAAATCCTTCGCCAGCGCACGGAGGACGCGAGTGCAGCAGCCTTGGATCACCTACTGAGTTACGGACTTGTAACATTCGGCAGTGTCTAGGTACAAAAATAGTGATTGCTGGTAGTAGTTTGCTGTGTACAATGTTTTTTTAATTTTGTGTTGCAATGAAGTACTAACCTTTTTTAACGTCTCTTTCCAGTTCACGGAGGCTACTCGCAATGGTCCAGTTGGTCTCATTGTAGTAAGTCTTGTGGTCTGGGAAGAAAATACCATTATCGTTTCTGCACAAATCCTTGGCCAGCATACGGAGGACGAGGGTGTAGCAGCCTTGGCCTGCCTACAGAAACACAGACTTGTAACATTCAGCGGTGCCCAGGTACAAGTTCATGCTAAAAAAAGTAATGAAAGCATTAATTTGCTATAACTACAGTTATTATCTTTTGTTTTTCTGTGCAATGAGCTTCTAGCCTTTTTTAACGCCTTTTCTCAGTTCATGGTGGATATTCGCAATGGTCTCATTGGTCTCAGTGTAGCAGGTCATGTGATGGAGGAACTCAAAATCATGACCGTTCATGCACCAACCCCCCGCCTACTAACGGAGGAAAAGACTGCAGCAGAATGGGACGAGCTAACGAGTCACGGACATGTAACACATATCGGTGCTCAGGTAAATGATTGCGCCATCGAGAAATCGAGCTGTGCATTTCTGTGTATTGTCCTTTCAAGGAAGTCGCGATGCTTTTAAAGTCTCAGAGAGGGTGCTTCTACTGATGTAATTCTATATTTGATAATATCAAACGGCAAATTTAATCGGCGCTTTGTAGTCAAAAGTCTTCTCGCCTTCGATGCTGTTTTGGTGAATCAAACGAAGACACGAACTGAGCAGTCAGTATTCTCAGCAGACATTGAGCAACATGACAATGGCTTGATGTCATAAATAAATGTATCAAGTTGTTTAGCTCGGCGGCCATTGTGCCGCAAAATAAATGTACGTAGTTGTGTAGCGAATTAGCCGGCGGCCATATTGTGTCTCAACGGCCACCGCACACTAAAATGATTCGCACAACACGATTATGGCTGGCTACTACGGATTCAATTGCCATTTTTTTTTTTCCAATTCTGCTGGAAATCACTTAGTTTGCTTGCCAAATTGACTTGTTTTATTGGCTAATATGTTATTATCTATCATGCGATGGATATTTGACGGATTTTTCTTTCCACTCTCCACTAAGGTCAGGAGATCGTCGAGCACATGGACTAGCATTGTTTGTTTTGAGACAAAATTATCTTATCATGATCGGGTACATGTACTTGTGAAGGTCAACTGACAAAGCGCTAGTCTGCAATTCTAAAACAATTAACAATTCGAACTTTTAGTCAGTTTTGGGCCTGCTCCTGTGCGAGAAATTTCTATTCTCTGATTTAAGGATTTTAGTGTAATGAATGAATGAAAATGTTTGTAACCTAATAACTCGAATCCTGGATGATTTCCAGTTGCCAGCAGAGTTTTCTCGATCTTTCCTAGATAATTTAATTTGGGACAGCCCTAATCCTCTTTTCCAAGTTATCTAATGGAGAATAGCCCTTGAATAAATGGAGAGGAGACTTAAATTAAAATTGGGCTCTGTCTTGTTTGACTGAAATTAAGTTGATTATAATTATTTACCTATAAAGTACTGTGTACATAGCACATTCAATTTTTTTGTTAGAACTCATAACTTTTAATCACTAGCTGTGTTCCACCTAGATAAGGTAAATATTTTGAAAATTAATGATTGTTGAAAAATTTAAGCTGTGTCATGCAGCATACAAACTCCCCAAAATCTTTTTGAATATCCTTGTCATATGTTTTACATAAAATATGTCTGCTCTAAATATCACAAGTTGGCTTAAAAAGCTCTTTCATTGTCGAACGCAATTAACTTGACGAACTTCATAAATTTCCACTACTTTTGCGCATTACGATATGCTGCAAAACAACGACACAATCATTCCTAAATTAGGAAACCCAAACCATAGCAGGGTAATTCATCAGTAGCAAATATCTATTAGATGAGTTAGTTTCATGAAGCTCTAGCAATTTGTTTTCTTTTTTATCCAGTGTCTCCAACAGCATCTGTAACCCCTGGGGTAATATATGGGAATGTGGGTGATTCTGCCACCTTTACCTGCACTGCTACTGGTATTCCAACTCCAAACATCACGTGGTATAGAAGTGGCAAACAAGTTAGTGGTTATGAAATCATCTCAGTCACTGCTAATTCATCACAGCTGACCATAAAAAAAGTTACCTATGCTGATCATGGTTACTACGAGTGTCGGGCCACTTCTAACAGAATGAAACCTGCAAACGCTAGATCCTTCCTTGGAGTTATAACAGGTTAGTATGTAATTTGATGACTAGTTCTTGTTTGACCTTACATTTACTTGGTTAGAGGTGCGTGCATGAACACATCATCGATCTATCTGCGACGTAGTCGCCGGTTGCAACTGACAACGTTCGGCGATCCGTCCCTGTGGGTCCCAGGCGCATCTGCGATGGATCGCTGACGTACTCAAATTTGCGCGAAATGCAAATCGAATTGTGCAAGTTTGAACCATTTTACCCGTAAATATGGATCAAAACGTCTTACTGGAGTACGTTGCGTCCGCAGATGATGTTCACATAAAATATTTTCATCGCCGACAACCACCGACAACCGCCGGCTTGCCTGCGAAGTTGAACACAGCTCAACTTCGCAGGCAAGCCGGCGGTCAATGCCTGGGATAGATTATGATTCGGCGATAAATGTTCACATACGCCGTAACAGTGTCCCAGGCCCCCACGTAACAGTGTCCCAGGTATGTCGGCGGCATATGAGAACCAGACTAAAATTACCGATTGCTGGCCTTAAAATAAAAAGAAGAAACACTAAATAATAATTAATTGGTATCAAAGAGGAGCATCATGGGGTAAAGGAGTCATTTAAACTTGCTGGTGAAGAATACCTGGGGAATTTTTCCTTTCTTCTGATGGGTGCAAAGATATGACGTTTCGTGCACTTTCAACTGTTTTTTTTGGATGCAGATTACAGAATAATAATTTAGTATATAGTGGCATTTTACCGTATTTCTTCGAAGTTGGATTCAATTTTGGTAAAACCATGGCCGATAAAATGACTCCAGGGCCGTTGGCAAAAATCATATCAACATATGCTTTAGCCTACGAATTAATTTGAACACGCTGGATGCAAAACAGCATGCCTGAAATTTTGGACACTTTTTTTTTTATCGCTTTTAAATCCATTTCTTGGCTTTGTCTTGAATGATACAGTAATTAGAACAAAGTTACTTTAACACTTCTTTCATTTGGCCACCTTTTGTTGAGAATAAAATACTTTTAAAGTGAACGGCATTTTGGATTTGACACTCACAGTGGTTTTGTGCGGCTTTTGTGGAGGCGCGGTGGCCTCATTGTTAGTGCGCTAGACTCCGGATCGAGCGGTCCGGGTTCGAGCCCTGGCCGTGGACATTGTGTTGTGTTCTTGGGCAAGACACTTCACTCTCACAGTGCCTCTCTCCACCCAGGTGTATAAATGGGTACCGACGAATTTAATGCTGGGCGTAACCCTGCGATGAACTAACATCCAATCCAGGGGGAAGTAGAAATACTCCTAGTCGCTTCATGGTACAGAAACTGGGATAAGCTCGGGAATGATAGGCCACTTGGCTCGTATGCAGGTGGAACTTATTTGTCTACAGATGTACGAGTCGCGAGGTCTTCTGGGAGAAATTGTTAGGGCTTATATGGTATAAATTGGGGAACGTTTAAGATGGTGACCAGTGCTGTTGTCGCAAAATAAAATTAATTGACCGAGTTGTTTAGCCCGCAAAATTTAATTACAAAACGTGACTTTCTTGAATATCAACGATAGAGTTGCCTGAACCATGCAAATAAAAGGTAAACCAGTGTGAATATGAACAATTAAGCATTTGGTGAGTGCGTTTTACTTCATCAACAAATTATAACAGTTTCTACCTTATCCACGCCTAAACTTAAGGAGATAATTATGGCATCGTCCATTCTGAAAGGCTTGGTTACCAATGATGGCATCGACCGTTAAAATGGCATCGACCGATTGCGAAACGGAAATCAACCTTGGCGGCCATTGTGCTGCAAAATAAATGTACCGAGCTGTGTAGCCAAGCTCGGAGGCCATATTGTGTCTGAAAAAGAACTTACCATGTTATTTAGCTCAGCGGCCACTGTGTCACGCTATAACTTTACCGAGTTGTTTTATAGCTCTGCAGTTATTATGCCATTCCATCATGATATGTCTTTTCGACACATTCAAATTATTTAGTTGCAGTTTGAAGACTTGTTAAAAATAAGACTTTTCGATGCCCTTTTGATTCCATATAAATTGTATATTACATTATACAGACTATGCCAACTGATTGGTAATGTTATTTGAAAATAATTAAGGAATATTAATTTGTCATTTGAAGACTTGTTAGCAATGAGATTTTACCAATTTCCGTTTTATTTCATTTGGCATCAGACAAAAACTATGAAGTGACTAGCAATGTTGCTGAAAACTAAAAAAAAAGGCATGGAAAGAAAACAAAGAATTGTGTGCACTGTTTTGCCTACCTTAGCCTATTTCACAAAGATTTTCAACAGGCATATTTTTGCCCAGCCCCCGAAAGGAAGGACTCAAATATTAAATTGACGGCGGTCATCATGGAAAATTTGAAGGAAATCCCTAAAAGGTTCCGGAAGCTAATATTAACCTCCCTTCGCCGGCCTGGCTCGAATTCATTTTAACACCAAGAGGACAGACGTACCAACTTAACAATACTACCTCCTCGTTGAAAGTTATTGAGATACAGTAAAAACCCGCATAAAAGAACACGTGTTTGGGGGGTTCAGGCTGATTTTGTTCTTATATATCGGGTGTTTTCTGCAAAATCGGCCTGAAAATGTTGTTAAGGTGTTCTTAAAATTGTTTCTAAAAAATTAAATACTGCATAGACTACCAACGGATAAAATCAATGTGCAAGCACGACATTTTAATTTGTTCTTTTATGCGGGATTTTACTGTAACTCTGAAATTGATAATTTCAGATTTCGGCAATAACTCATTTCATATTTCGCTCAAGCGCATTTTCCAAACACCGATCACTACCAGTCTGCTATAGAAATGTTATGCAAACTACATTGCACAGTAACTACATGTACAACAGTCTATAACAAGAAGCGTACAACATGTATCAACCATATTGTTTTTTTTTTGTTTGTTTCTTTTACTTCACTTACAGTAACATTTTACCTCATCTGATACCATCTTAATGCTAGGCAATCAGGGAAAGAAACACATTATGTATGCAAATTGATTATGGGTATTCAGCATGTAATATGTTTTTGCAGGCACGGTAAGAGCTAATTATTAGAACTTCAGTACACTTCAACATCATAAACAAGGTGTATGTGAGACTTAGGTGTTGTTGTTATGTAACGGGCTTAGTCATTACCGACAGCAAGCCAAGAGTGTTAACTACAGATTGTTTGTGATGTACGGGGTGGTGTAAAACGCAAACAATCTGTAGTTTACACTCTTTTAGACAAAGCGGACAAAATCTCTTCGCCCAACGTGGGTAAACGCAGGGAACGCAAGCAAGTTCTCAAAGTCTTGGCAGACAACAACTATTGTGATTCCAAACGAAATCATCGCCTCCGACTTCTGGTACCGCTGACACGTCTGACACTAGTCAAATGTCCCAATCGAGTTTCGTTGTTTTACCGTACGTCAAAGGCGCTTCTAAAAAGATCCCCAGAGTGCTACGAAAGGAAGGCGTTTAATTGGCCTATAAACGTATTAAAACACTACATCAGTACACTTCGTGTATTATGGCTTCAGTAATTTGCAATCCATTCATAATCATATGCACTTGGCATATTACAAAATAAGAAACCAAGTACGTTGTTTATAAAATAAACTGCTCAAACTACTTCGTGTATTATGGCCAAACCAGAAGAGCTGTTGAAACTAGAATTTCGGGACACAAAAGATCAGTTCTTTTTTTTGTTTGTTTGTTTTTTTTGACGCCAATTCAAAGACTGCCCAACTTGTTTATCAACATAATTACGCCATGGATTGCGATAACGTGGAAATCATAGACAGAGCGAACAATAACCACAAAATACTTTTTTCTGGAAGCATGGTATTCCCAAAAGAGACAAGAACGCAGGGAATGACCATGTAGACATTCCTGACATTTACGCTTCGCTCCATTAATTTGTAATCCGTTTACAATTAATACACTTGGCATATTTGCATAATTTTGGACCTTTTTATATAATCCATTTTTACAATTTCCATTCACAACCGATGAAGACCAAAGTTCTGCGGTCGAAACGTCTTTTTAGTGTTTCAGCAAAACGTTTGTTTGAACGTTTTTTAAGCCAGTGTCGAGCCATTTTTGCACTGATTACCATGAATTCTGGCTGCAACTTTGGTATTTTTCGGATAAAGTAACTAAGTAAACATGGTTCTGCAATAAATTTCCTGATTTAAAATTTGTAACGACTTTTCTAATTTTCTTATTTCTACACCTTTGTAGCAATTCAACTCCCAGAAACTGACATTTGAAAACAGCACTCCAACCGAGTGGAATAAAACTAGACATAAGCCCACAAGTACGCATTGCGGACCTATTTTTATTTTGGTTCTCCTCAGATTTAGTTGGTGACTCGCTGTGGTCCTACTGGTCTCAGTGTACCAAGTCATGTGGATCGGGAACTCAGCGTCGCTCTCGTTCATGCACCAATCCCTTACCAGCAAACAGTGGACGGAATTGCAGCGGACTGGGACAAGCCACGGAATTGCAAAGATGTAACACACACAACTGCCCGGGTGAGAGCTCTGCTACTCGTTTTTAAGAGACTTTTCAATGCAATTATATGTCCAATCGGTGGGAAATGTTCACACGATACTTGAATCCCCCAAAATAAGGGACAATATATAGAAAGGAAGCCACATCAGCCCAATACAAGTTTTCATGCATGCTGTCGGTTCCTTTATCCTGGTCAAATAAGGAATACACATGAATGCCGAGGCATAGTTTTCATGAAACAATGTGGAAATGAAATATAAACAACAGAAAAAGGATGAAAAGACAAATTTGTGCAGACATTTGTTTTCGTAGTGAGCTAGATGCTTGCGCTTACCATAAAAATGACGTTCCTTCTTAGTTCACGGTGGGTACTCAAAATGGGGAGCCTGGACTAAGTGCAGCAAGTCCTGTGATGGGGGAATGCGTGGTCGTTTTCGTTCATGCACCAATCCCCCACCAACAATTGGAAGACAATATTGCTGGAGACTCGGACCAGCAAACCAAAGGCAAACATGCAACAGTCATAAGTGCCCACGTAAAGTTTGGTCACTTGCTCCAGCTTTTCTCAATAACACAACTTGTCCTACTTTAATTGATAAAACTTTATCATTGCCATGTCCAATCGGATACGTTGAAAGTTGGAAACTAAATCTTGTCAGTGCACGATACTCCGAATTGAACTGTCAAGGTCGAAACGCGGGCAGAGGATATTGTGTTGTTTTAGCGGAGTAATGTAACCACTTTAAGAAACACTCAAAGAGTAGCAATAATCCAAAATCTACAAATTTATGTCTCTCTAACTTGTCTTAGTGATTCGATTTAACGCTTAAGTCACTAATTTACTTTTGAACATCTACATTCAGCGGTGCCCAGCAGGTAGAAGTTTATGCTTATGCAAAAAGTAATGAAAGTACTAACTTGCATTAACTTCTGTGTTGTTATCCTTGTTTCTGTGCACACTGAGCTATAAGCCTTTTTAAACGTATCTTTTCAGTTCATGGTGGATACTCGCAGTGGTCTGTTTGGTCTCAGTGCAGTAAGACTTGTGGTTCAGGAAAGCAATATCGTTATCGTTCCTGTACAAATCCTCGGCCAGCATACGGAGGACGAGTGTGTAACAGACTGGGACCAGCTAAAGAATCACAGACGTGTAATGAATATGAGCACCGCGGTAAATGATCATTTATATCATCTGGAAAGAAAATGAATAATATATAGATTTAGCCAAGCCTAAAAGCAGAGCTCCTGATTATAATGAGTTAACCTGGCTTGAGCCTGCGATCCAATCGAAAACCTGTACACACGACCTAGATAAACATGAGTCCGGGATATTGTCACGTGATACTGGTCAGCTGATACCTTGTTTTGACAAGTGTCAATTGAACATAACATGGATACCCGATATCAAAGATGCATGCTGTAAACCCTCCCCCTTTGATCTCTTAGGGAAAAGCCTTGGGAACTAGGTTGTTGCAGAGTGACATTTCTCATTTATTTACATAAAGGGGGCGAACGGACGTACGGACCTACTGACGGACGTACGTACGTACGTACGTACGGATAATCACGTGACAATCATTTTTTTTTCCTAAGGTATGGGGCTCCGCTGTTATACATGTCTAAGTTATACATTAATGCCTCACTGAGGGAAAAGAGATAATGATAGGTAATACTTATTATATGACTAGCTACTTAAGCGGCAAGATGAACTGAATCCAGCGCTGTGATTGGCTACCGGAGCGGGCAAGATGATGTTACAGTGTTCTTTTTCCAAATAATAAACCTTTATTGGCCAAGCTTGTTCGGTCAAGATTGATGGATATTGGCCTCGTTTTTGTTTGTTTGTTTGTTTGTTTTTTGCGAGTTTATGGACATCGACGGTTTCACGCAGAAAAAAAGAAAGAACTTGGCCAACATTCAGCCATCTTGACCGTATCGAACAAGCTTGGTCAATAGCTGGTTTTCACATGACGTCACAAAAATTCAAACTACAAAACTATTGATCCTCCCGAGATTTTACTTTAATGATGTATAAGAACAGCTGAAAACTAATATTCATACAAATTTCTGCTCCGAATGGGTTCTTGGTTTTGTAATACACTACGCTTGAATTTCTAAGCTTTTGCGTGACGCG